CCCCCCCCCCCCCTCAAAATCATCATAGCCCACCCTCTAGGTAAATTATGAATGCTCCCTTATTTACCTCTTCTTTGGGTTCATGTCAGAAACGGCGTCAACCAGCGAACAGTAGGCTCGATTACCAGCCGCTGTTCGGGAAAATGAGCCCGCACTCATCCCCATTTTCGGGGAGGATCAAAGACTGGACCCGGGAGACGGCGGAAATCGAGCCTAAGCGAACAGTCGCCCGTAAATTCTACCAAGAAGTCGCCTGTGGAGCAAACTTATGAAGTATCCGCAACAATCCGGTCGACATGCCAACCTAGTTCGCCAGCAGCAAATGATCGTTCAGTACCAGAAGAAAACCCTGAAAATGCTGAGCCTTCTTCTGCTATGGCGGCACGGAAGGTAACTTATGCAAAGTGGAGCAAAGAGGAGCAGAGACTGTTAGTACAAATGTGGTGTGACCATATGAAAACGTCGAGAATGGAGAAGCCCAACTGGAAATTAATGGCCTCTCGACTCAGTGTGAAGAGGAAAATAAAGTATCTACGAGATCTTTACAGAGAAGCGAAGGCATACAACGAAAAGAATAAAAACCAACCGTGGAAAGATAGAGAAACTTCACCATATTATCATGAAGTAGACGCAGTGCTCACTTGCCACGGTAGCCCGCATTTTAGTCATGTAGAAGAAACAAGTGGAATAACTGCAGCTTCGGCTTCTAACGAGTTTGTGGCGGCTTCTGATGTTTCGGCGGTTCCAATGTTCACACCCCCTCGCATCTCCGTCGGAAGTCAGGATGCAGCAACATCGTTTTCGTCCCAGCAACGTCTAGCTTACTGGAATACGATAAACTGTCCCGTCAACATGGAAGATGACCACGGCGCACTCGTGGAAGCGGCGCCAAACAGCAGCTCTTCTGAAATCAGAGCTCATAGAAAGCGTCGAAAAAAGAACCAGGATAAAAGCGATGACTCGAATCAGAATAAAATATCAGAAATGATAAGAATCAGAATGATTCGTCAGTTTTCCGCGAAACGATGGAACAGTTTCTAGCTCGAGGAGACAGGATCACTGTAGTCATGGAATTGTAAATTGTAAATTGTAAATATCTTATTATCCACTCCCCTCAGGGCTTTTCAGGGATAATTTACAACACTGGTTGGGGGACTTTGCCAGACTGCTTAAGGTGCAGTTTACAAGTACTGAAGGAATGAGTGATGATGCCCCCATACATGAGTGTGAAAGTGAGATAGACCACTACACCGGGCACTACGTGCCCTACTCTTTACGAAGAGTGTGTGGGTTCTTTAACGTCCCACAGATTCATTACATGTGCAAGGGCTTGTGAGACGGGGCCTACGGTTTATCGTCCTTATCCGAGAAGACTAGAAAGTCTAACCATTTGCAGATGTTATTACAAAGGCAGCACTTTCTCCTCAGTTATATAAAGACCCTGAGTGTTGGTCCGGCCGGGGTTTGAACCTACGGCCTCCCGCACAGCAGACCGGCGCTCTCCCAACTGAGCTAACCGGGCGGCGGTTAGCATGGCGGAAGGTTAACATGGCGGTTAGCATGGCGGCGGTTAACATGGCGGAAGCCATGTTAAAAGCTCAAAATCAACAGTTTGAAATGATGACATTTTTTATGAATGCTTTTTTGCAACAAAGTCAAGGTCAGAAAGCAGACGATAACCACATTGCGTGACTTGCCTGAGGATAACGCGATATTTGTGGTGATCATTCAATACATGCACTGTCGCTGCAAAGAGGCTACGTCAGCAGCAGCCTTCCAACAGCGGTGGTGTATAGTATATTTGAGGTTTTGTTCTCTTTGAGCGTCATATTATGATTACATTAATGGAAAGGTCCCTGAAGGGCTATGAAAAATTGGGAGAAAAAGTTGTATGACTTGAAAATTAGGAGGGTTTCAGTAAGGTGGTAGCTTAAAAACGGTTGACGGTTAAATTTTATAGCTTTTGACGATTGACGGTTATAAGTGGAAATTTAGTCTAATGGTTAAAATAGATATTTACTTCAATATAAATTAACATTAACTGTTCTGTTTTGGAGGTTGCATTTGCTTATCCCTTATTTTCAGATATAGCAAGTTCTAAGCCAGTCCTGTAATGTTCAGACAGAATGTTTTTGAGAACATGGAAACTAGTTTTTCGGCCAGTTTGGAGATTTCTCAGGAGCCGAAGTCTGTGAAGATTAGCTAAAATAGCGAGATTTGAAATACCTTGAAACCTTTTTATGGTTGATATTAATCTGCTTTTCTGACGGTTTCATGCTGTTTGACTGCTGATGATTAACCCCATTGAGACCTTCAGTGAAATGTACCCTTTATAACCAGCATCATCCAAGAGGTCCTTAGCCTCCCACGCAGGAGTTAGTAGGGGAAGGGGAAATACGACTCCCCTAAAAATGCCTGCGTGGAAGGCTAAGGGTGCTTTCCATTATACCGGACCGACAGGTCCGAGACCCACTCGGAATAACCAAGGGAAAATGGAACGCGTCCACAGAACCAAAAGTCCGACCGAACTGATTGTTGGGTGATGTGTGACTTCATGTAGCTTGCAATAAGTAAACGGACGTGTTTCTAGGGGTTTGGTCGAACTAGTGAAGATTGTTGGAATGAGCTGCGGATTCGTTCGCACTTGACTGTCAAAAGCCGTAAGGGCTAGGGTCACATACTGCTAAGAGAAAAATGCGGGAAAACATCATCAACCTGCGGAGAAGCCACAATCCTGGACAAAAGGTCCTTGGGACAGTACTGCAATATTCATATTTTTCTGTGATTTCTCAGTTCCCTCTTAAAATAGGGCATCCTTTTCGAAATTTTCTTTCAGTTCTCCCTCCCCCCACCCTATAAAGAGTTGAAACTCTGGATACACTCGTCCAACATTGTTTGTGGGGTGAGGGTAGGGGTGGACCTGTGTGAATTGGAAAACGCCCCAGAAACTCAAAAGTGTCCTAAGACTTTTGTCCATGATTGCAGTAATATATTCGTCTTTAAAAACTGACGAAAACCAGAAGAAAAAACAAATTAAGATGCACTTCTGAACCTGAGCCTTGTGTGCAACTGTGCAAAAGGAGAAAGTTTACGTCTTGCGTCTGAAGCTCACACACATTGCACTCGTAAACACTTGCATCTGAACCATCCGCCATTTTGACTGTGGTGACGAGCTGGAGCGGGACTGGAAACGAAAGTTTCTGAAAATGGAACGGCATTTTTCGGTCGGACCGGACCGACCGGTCAAAGAGGACCACCTCTGGAGGTGAACCACTTTGAACGGAAAATTTCTACCTGGACTGAGCGGTTCCATTTACGTTTGGACCGAAATTTCCGAAAATTTTGGCATAATGGAAAGCATCCTAAGAGGTCCTAGGCCAGTGTTCAATTTAATTGCCTTCTGAACATCATCATAAGTACACGCGAGTCTTGGTCACTGTTGGGTGTTTTTAAGCTAACATAAGGTTCAGTCTTTGTTGCTGCGACAATTATTTTCCTTTTGTCTCCAAAAAATGGACATTCCTTGTTAAATTTGATTGTACAAACTAAAAGAGCAAAGTAAAAGTGCTAAAAAGAGTTGATATATTTAATTATTTTTCTCTGAATTCTGCTGGAATTAATGTTTTTGGAATCGAAATGAGAGGTTACTTTTTCATTCACGATGCTTTGACTTTGACTGGGGAGGGGAATCCATATGAATCAGCATATAACTTGAACTGAAAAATAGGCAAATTTGGACCGTGGGGCCCAAATCTGCTGTGGCATCGCGATGAAACTGTCACTTGACAACGTGCACGACGGTACAAACTCAGGATTCTCCTTTCTACAATTCAAGGAGTTCTTAAAGTTCGCTACCATGTCCAATATCCAGAAAAGAAATTTGACGATTTAGTCAGAAAATAAACCGTCAGCTACTGCACTCGCTTTCTTTCAATGGAAGCGCATGAATGGGAGCGAAAGCCTGCAGCCCTAACGAGATCACGTGACGAAGCACAACTAAGACGATGGTGGACAATGATGCTATTATTTGGGTAATTTCTTCAGTGGTGTCGCGGACGGTTGCGATCACCAAATGACTTAATGCAAAAGATTGAAACGACACAAAACAATACGAACATTACAACACAAAAGCGAACAAACAATGGTTTCCGTCACACCAAGAAACACATTTGACAAGGAAAACTTGCGTGTGTAGAGTCAAGAAAATTAATTTGATATAAAGATGTTGAGAGGTCTTCCAACCTCGTTCCCAGGGTCCTCTCCTACTCGGCCCCCGAGGTTGACAGGTTTCTTTGTTCAAACGTTCCAGTAGTAACCAAGGTGACAGGAATATACTTCGTATTTGATTAATCTGGCACGCATGTTAATGAGAAGAATCCGCCAAACTTTTGGGCCTAGATGTAAAGGATTAACGGCTGCCATACTTTTGGGTTCAGTCCACGGAATAATATTTTGTTTATTTCAAAAGCTTTAAACTTCAGCAGAAGTGAAAAACGTCTTACGAGATTGACGGAGTAATTGAGAAAAATACTTCCAAAGCTAAAGCTATCATTTTACTCGTGAAAGTTTGATAAGGGTTAGGATTACGTTAACCGCATCTTGCTGACTTACTTCACTTTAGAAGTGTAACTGAGTGGGTATAGAAGAATTTCAAAAGTTTGTGGGGCCACACGGCAATGCAGTTTTTCCCCCCAACTTTTCCAGGCTTTGAACTATAGTGGAGAGATACGCTTTATTTCGGTGAAATTTAATTCTAATCAGCAAGTACTTTCTAAATCCGTCACGAACCTGGTTCACGATATTATTCCACTCCGATATAACAAAAGGAAAATTACCCGAGAAAAACTTTAGAAGTGTGGTTTTCAGTGCAACCTAATTATGGCATGTGCTAAAACCCAGACGATGTATGACGGGTAATGATAAGTTACGAAAGTAAACCCAAAATCATTAGGGGCATGTGCTAAAACCCAGACGATGGACGATAGACGATGGGCGATACCAAATTTTCAAGACTTTTTCACGAAAGACCCTCCTCCGGGACTAGCAGAGGTAACTCTTCTAAGGAGCCCATGCCATCAGCAGATCTGGTCGGAGTCTCTAAAATGCGTCGTGAATATACACTTGCGGGTGAGAGGAGGTATATAAGGAAAGATGGGAGATGTGTATTTCCACCCAAACATGTCAAATATAAAGAATAAGCAAGCACATTTTCTGCCATCCCTTCTAACTGTTCGAAGTCACGTAAGACAACTATTAACACCTCTTTATAGGCAACACCTGATGGACTCTAGGATTTTCAGCATAAAGAGTTCATATTTGGTCAAGTGTTCTATTCACTTTTGACCAGGACTGTGGTCAAAACACTCAGACGTAATTTCGACTGGAAGTTACTGATTTTGCACAAACCCGTCTTATACAGTGTACATCGAAATATGATACTAAGCAGCATTCTGACGCTACTTAAGAATAATTTGAGTCATTTATAACGTTTTTTTTTAATAATCTATTACGGCTATTGAAAATTGAAGGTTTGAAATATGTTTTCGCTTCAGTCGAATTCAAACTTACAGAATTTTTTACTTCTTACGGAGGTTATTCGCTAAAAACCAAACTTTAAGTTCCTAAGGTTGGATTTGTCAGTAGCTGGTCTAGATCGCATAAAATTAGGCGTTTATCAATTTCTAAGTTTTTTGTCTATTGTTGTCATAGTAACATCGATTTTACTAAAACCTACACTTTGTATGATCGATCATTGGTGAAAATTTTATAGCGATCAGGCAAGGATAAAATCACTTTTAAAGCGATTGAAAAATATCGGAATGGCCTCTGAAAAACTATATCGAAACACCTTAACAAATTAAATGTTGTGCTTTTTTCTTCCACGGATTTTATTTTATAAACGGTATTTTCTTTAATGCGCGAAAATTAGTTGGCAACACGTCAAGCCGGATAAAAATATCTATTCGTTTTTGCCCGCCATTGGGTGACAAATTTGAATTAACAATTAATTAACGCTCGTGTAACAAGTCTCGCATAGTTTTTAGTAACTATGACTCTCGTAAAAATGACTGTAAAAATGGTATCACTCATCGTCTATCGTCCATCGTCCACCGTCTATCGTCTAGAATCCATCGTCTGGGTTCTAGCACATGCCGTCATACGAAGATAAAAGAAGAATTCGTGAATTAAGACCGGAGCACAACTCAGTGCACAGTGTTATGAGAATAGCTTCTAAGAGGCATTAACTTGCACATTGTTGGCCTGAAGGCTTTATACATAAAAATTTTACTTTCAATTTTTAAGTTACACACTGCCTTGAAGTTTAATTCTAGAATTCATGTTTGTTAACTTACAGGTCCCAAAACGATTTTAAACACCAGGCAATAATTATCATGTTCTCAGATTAACTCCAATCCCTGAAATCTGTTATTATGTTCCTCTCTGCCTAGTTCTTCTAATGTTCCAGTTATCATTTCTTGGAGTTCTTGAACCAGCGCATGATTACCGTAGGTAGTTTTAAGAATGGCTTCTGCCTCTAACAGCGACTGCAACCCATCTTTTAGTTTGTCCAGATATACTTGAAGTTTGCCTGTCAAACAAAAAATTCTTCAATACGGCTGGTCACACCTCGCTAACAGTCTGTGCCACGAAATGGTCTCTTATTTCACTTAAAGTGACGATGAAACATTGCAAGCGTAGCCCGGGATGTACAGTGTAATCAAGTCTTTTAGAAGTTTCCCAGTGTGAACCGGGTATATGGCCTTTTCTAGACTCATCCTTAAAGTGAGGTTCACTTGTGTTCAGACTGTTAAAAGTTTTCCTCATTTCTGGTTTCTGTATCCCTAATGAATTGTGAGAGAGTGTTGCTTGTGAAATATGAACATATGAAAATCATATATGTGAACTGCGGAATGAAGAATTATTTGAAGGAAGATCATCGCAGTCGTATAAACAAGTTATGCAGCTGCGAAAAGAAAGCCTGAAAAAAATTTAGACTTGTCCGGGATTCGAACCCTTGACCCCTGGGACACTGGTGGAGCGCTCTACCAATTAATCTAACAAGCCAACTGGGAGCAGGTCATTGAATTGGTTCGTGATAAACCCGTGAAAGGATGATGATGAAATTATGAATATATGAAAATGGTATATGTGAACTGCGCAGTGAAGAATTATTTGAGGGAAGATTATCGCTGTTGTATACGCATGAAGTTGTGAAAAGAAAGCTTGAAAAAAATTCAGGCGACCTGCTCCTAGTTGGCTTGTTAGCTTAATCGGTAGAGCGCTGCACCGGTATCGCAGAGGTCAAGGGTTTGAATCCCGTACAAGTCTGAATTTTTTTCAGTGTTGCTTGTCTTACGTCAGTTTCTTTACGCTGGAAAAAGGACAGCGTTAATGAGAAAAAAAGTCTTCTTCAATAGGAACGAGTTACGAAACGTTTTTCAATAGAACGTATAAATTGTTCTAAAATTGAATGTCATTTTGAAAACCAAATCCCTCTTATAAGGTTTAAACAGGGTCTAAAAAGGCCCACCCATGTATCGTACCCTCCTAAGGAGCAAAGAACCCATTCCTCAAAAGATAAGACGAACTGTGTGGTAATGACTCAGATGGTATTTACTTCAGTTCAGCTCCCTCTCCACTACATGCACTTTCCTATCCTAAATCTGGCTTTTTTACTAGTATCCTAGTATGCTGAGGTAATGACCTACCTATCCTAAACAGCTGAATCCCAACACTTGGGTGGTTTATTGGATAATAGAGCTTGTATGCATTCATTGTTTGAAGTCCAAAGTCCAATGCGCTTTCCCACATCTCCAGATTAATGCATGCATCCATCGCTTTATCAAGTATTCTTGCTTTGATGTAATGTAGTTTGTGAAAGAATCCTCTTTGATTTGCTAAAATCCTCTCAGCAATATCAAGAACACCTTGCTGGTCATCTGATTTTTCTAAGGTTTTAATATCTTTTAAAGCTTCTTCGCTCTTTAATATAATTGTGTCTGCCTTAGTTCCAGCAGTCTTGTCCAAAAGGCTCTTACCACATGTGTTACAAGCAGAAAACTCACCCACTGGAGAAAAGAATGATTCATAATATTTGAACAAAAAAAAATATAAACAATATACACTGTGATAAATTTTATAAATACACCTTAACAATAATCACTGTTTATTTCACTCTTTTGCAGGAAAACTCATTTAGTAATATCAGAAACTCATAAGCGATTCAACCCCTTATGAGTTTCTGGTAATATACAATGACAGTTAAGTAAATTATGTAAATTAGAAATACTTCAATGATAGAAATACACTGACTGTCATTGCCACAAAATGTATTTCTTGCTTCACAATGTTAACATTCTGTGAGTACTCCCCTTGGCCAGGGACAGAGGCAAAAGCACACCACTCACTCACTGAGATGGGTAGAGTACTTACTTTTTATCTGACACAGCAAGAGCTTTCCTAATGTGAAATATAATCAACAAAAGAGTGCCTGCCTCCTGTTTTAAAAGAACATAGCTTTTCTCATTTCTGCACAATGATATTGCCAATGTACCTGCCAAATCTCTTGGGACTGCTCCACAGCACCTTTTGTCAGAACACTGCAAACTTAACATGAGTCCATCTTCCTCCAAAGAAGACAAACACTTAGTACAGCTGCATTCAAAATAGTAACGGTTCCTTAAATCTTCTTTTCTCTGATAACTTGGGCAGAGAAGTTCAGTGTAGCTTATGGTAAGTTCATCACCTTCCTTGATATCTTCTGTTGCATGGACTAGAAGTTTTGTCTGACTAAAAGTTACCACACAATTTGGATAACATGAGTGGTTGAGGATAGTAGGTGTTTGATACATGCCAATACCTGTGAAAGGTGAACACCAATTGGAATACTTAGTAAAAAGGTCTTATGATGTTACACTGTCCACTTACTGTATCTGATGCGTAATCATGACACAGATTTGGGGTTACTTATCAAAGTCTGGGGCTCACATGAGTCTACCTAGAACAGCATCAAGGATGTGCTCTTAGAAAAGCTGACAGGAATGCAAATCTCTGGCTCTGTGAAATCGTGTCCTGGGTCAGGGTTTGAAATTTACTTTTATGTCCTATTGCCCCTGGGGCAACCACAAGACTTGGTTTGGTTGCTCATGAAATATTTTCGTTGCCAAAGTCAACCTCTTGGCCCAGTTCAATCCAAGAAAGTAAAACACTGAGATAGCTCAATAATTATTAACAGGTTTTTTTAGTTTTTCACTAGAAAATGTGCCTCACTTGTTATCTGTTTTTCGACCCCATCAAGGCCTGTTAGGTTTCCAAATGCAGATTTATCTTTCAAAAACCATGAGCAATAACTACAAATCATAGCACTTTCTTTCACACACAAGAAACAGTTCTTTGAGCTCTCTAAGTCTTGTGCCACTAATCTGCTGTAGCTTTATCTGCCTTAGTGAATTCCAAAGTGAAGGTGTAAATTTTTACAGCTGCACAAAGAATCAATAGGCTATAGCAGGCAGGGATCAAACATGGTGGGAATACACATGTGGGCACATCTCACTACAGTGCATCATGGACTATGTTTAACTACATAAACTTCTGGTTAAAGAACAACAAGTTCATTCAGGCCAAATGTTGAGTTTGGAGCCTTTTTTAACTTTCAACTAACTTTTAAGGATCATGAACCTTTCCAAGGCAAAAAGCTGCAATAATCGTTCCTAATTAGGGAATTAGGACTTAGAAGATTGGGTTGTCCGAGGGGCAGCCAGTCAGCACAAATTGGTTGCCCCACTGATAGTTTTTGTTGTCTGGGACAACTGGACAACTGTTAATTTCCAACCCTGATGGTGATGACATTTATGAAAAAACAAACATTTCCTACCCACCCTGGACTGCAAAATAGTAAGTATTTTTGGGTAGGTCAAGGAAGTGAGAGCAGTTAAATGAAGATCTATACTGAGGCCTTATGTGCTTTGCACAAGCAAGATATTAACGCTGGTGCTTTGTACCTTAAAAAACCGATTTTTACAGAAAGAAACAGACTGTTTTGCAGTCTGTAGTCCCCCAAGAGCAAAAGGAAGGCACCAGGTTCTACCAGGCACCCCTAGAGCACTTCCCTGGCTGTACTGATGCATCTATTATTTTAACATTTGAAGAAAAATTATTGCAGAGAAAGTTTTATAATGTGTAGTGGTATGTCATCACCAAAATTCCATATCAATTGACAAACAGTAAAGACAGGATATATCATCATCATCATCATAACAAAAAATCATTGTAATATTGAAGGAATGCAATTTATCTCACAATGCAGGAACTTGTGGTGTAGATTGTAATGTTTTGACTTTGCTTTTCCTTCTCAGGTGACTGGTTATGCAACCCCTTAAAGTGCACAATGTTCCACAGTGAATGGTTGGTGCATTTCAAACTTTGCTATTTTGGTGAAACTATTCCCTCTTCAGCCTAACATCATATGACCCTCCTGTCAATGTGACTCTTGATCACAGACATCCATGCTTTTCGTATTTCTATTCCACTGTATCTATTGATGTTAAAGTGGAGGTGAAGCTTTAAATGGTTGTCCCTCTGACCCTGACAGTGTAGCAGTGAGGATCAGAATCAAACACTCTTTTTACCGTCCCAGACTTATTTCCACTACGTACTGTTCAGTTGGATTAACGGAAATACTTCTGATGGTAAACAGTCTTCTTTATAACGTTTTGACTACAATATGGGAAAGACAAAAATATTTCATTATTGCGCTAGTTATTACGGATGGTCACCAGTTGCTTCGATACAAAGTTGTTTTCTGTGTATTCAGTAGAGTTATAAAATAGTTCCATGTACTTGCCTTTAAAAAAAGGAGAATATTAACCCAAAATGTTTTTCTTGTTCACTCTCAAACTATACTTGAAATGATCGAAATTTTTATGCTTGAGTTTGTACCAAAATGAGGTGGGTAAGATTTCCGTATAACCCCATACATTTATTATGCATGCAGCAATCATATACCTTTTGTCACAAATATTTTGATAAGAATAGAGTGGAAAAACGTATGCACGATAAATGTACGGGGTTAGATGGAAATCTTACTACGACCTGTACCGAAATGTCTTTGTATCAATACGACTGGTTTCCTTAAGGATTAAATGGTTGTTCTGTAGTTATATTTAGTTCTCAAAATATGCTCACCCAGAGGCTGTAATTCAGCATCACATATAGTAAAACAGTTGCATGATATCTTGCCAAAAAGCTCAAACAACTCGGCCGTTGAAAATTTTTGGAAATCTTTACCTCCAACAAAATGCTTAAGAACTGTTATGATGGTGGTAAAAGCGTCCTTCCTTAGTTCTCCGAACTGCTCGTGGTGGGAAACAAGCTGAGATAAATACTTGCACAATGCGTCGTCTGAATGTTTGTTTTGCATGATTCTTGCCATGAGACGCACAAGATCAGTTGGAACATTCGGAGAAACTCTAAGTATTCGTTCACATTCGATTTTGTGTTCCTTCCAATCCTTCTTTTGACATTGTCTATCACAGTAGCGTGCAAATTTACACTTCGAACAACGTTGAAGATCACACCCTTGGGTAAAACACATGTCGCAACATTGCCCTCGCACATTGTTACTTAAAACAAAGACCACAGGAATGGATTCAAGAATATTATCACCCGGCTTAGATGATATCAAAGCCCTCAAACCGCGTCCTCTTAGCTTTCCATAATCACAAATCTCAAAAAGCCTTTCTCGAGGTGTTAATTCCGCCATTTTTTTGTTAAGCAAGTAGTTCTTCATATATGGGATAAACCCCTGCACTGATAGTCAGAATCCATGTCCTCATACACAACCTGTTTTTTGTGCCTTGTAAAGCCGCTGGTTTGTTGAAAAATGGCTATGCATGCAGATGCCTTGCTATGAAGCTCTATTCACCATGCAGCCCATGGAGGTTGCTTATTCCACGGCAATTCTCAAATCTGTTCAAAAAGGGACGCCACTGTGATAGCGCCCTATTTCATTCTCATCCTCAAGGAAGTACCACCTCGTTACCCGAAGACATGGAAGCTTGTTTGTATGTTCACGTAAGTAAAACTTAAGTGTTCAAGGTAGTCAAGCAGTTGTTTTTTGTTTTGTTTAAAGCCACCACAGACTGCGCTGCCACCATTTCTGACCATAATGGTTGACGGAAATGTATTTTTATTCTTTTAGAATGTTCTGGCAGGTACGACACAGGTCACAAGTGCAGGTCACTGCTCTATTGATGAATAACTATGTACTGAGAACTCTATTTCGGATTGTCATGGTTAGGGCTGAGAGACACTTGTAATGTTGTTTCTTTACAGTTTACTGTAGCACGCTGACCTCTACTCTAAACCTGCACTTGTTACCTGTGACATCATTTTGTGCCTGCTAAAGCTACTTAACTTTCAATGAACTAAGTAGTGAAAAAATGCATTGTACCTCCAGCGCTCAAAATAATGGCCGGTCAACGGACAATGTTGAATAATGACTTTACTAGCCAAAAACTTCACGTGCCGGCTTTGACTGGCCTCGCTTACTCTCATTCTTGAAAAAGAGCCAAAGTCCTCACCGGTAAATGAAAGATTTTGTTCCTTTGAAAGAAAATCACTTTCTCAAATAGAAATTACACAAGAATAAGTTAACTTTTTCCCAATATTTTGACCGGTCCGAAACGATACTTGACCGAGCAAAAAATTCTGTGGCCGGTCATGGTGTCCGCCCACCGTCCAAAGCTCACTGAAGAACCTCGTTTAACGAAAATCGAATCGATATTGAACAAGTACGTAGGCCGTAAAAATTGAGACTGCATTAAGTATGTTACTTGGACGAAACCAGAATGTTAAAAGTTCTTGGGAAAAAAAATATAACTGGTCACGCTATGACTTTTGACCTAGAGTTAAGACGCTTGAGATTTGTGTTCTCCCAGCTGGAGAGTTAAGCAGTCTCCTCAGTAGGCTCGTCGCAAGATAGTTCCTTTCTGCTCGCCGTTCCATTGTTTCATTCTAGCGACGATTTTCAAGTGGGACATGTAAGACTCTTACTGCGATTTGCCGTCAAATGTTTGGGTTTTTTTTTTAACCGGCCGTTGGTGTTCGGGATCCCCGCTGCAGACTGAGAAAGGTGATGAAAACTTAGAGGTTGCGTTCTGAAGCCCTGGTTGCAAAGGAGTCGAAGTTTCTACTTTCACTTGCATTGAGTGCTCTGTGATAGACCAGGCGCTCAGTTTATCCTCCAAGCTCTTTAATACTTTGTCCAGCCTTCGAAATATACTTTGTGTAGATTCGAGAGAGTTTTCCTTTTCGTGAATTCTTGCCCCAAAGCGTTCATTTTCACGGTCAGTTTATCTTCGTGTAATTTGAGCCCGTTCTCCAGTTGAATTGCTTGTGTATTTACACACAAAGTATCGAAGTACTACATTATTTTCCTGTAGTTGAAACTCAATTTAAAATCTCTTTTGTTCCGTGTTGTTTTCTATTCCTTTGTTCTGTTTTCCTAACGAGTGCAGAGCCTTTAGGATTTCGTCCATGCTCACCTCCGACCTAGCCCGCTTTGCTGTCACCCATTTTTTAAATGATTTTGCGCTTTTGTTAATATTAATATTTTGTCTGCTGCTATTTATTTATTTATTTATTTTTTCATTCCCTTCAGTGGCCCTTCTGCAAAAAGATCTGTACATTTTGCAATTTCAACAAATATGCTAGGTTGGTGTAAATGTCACTTGAATTATTTGTAAATTAGACAAGAATAACTCAGAGAATAACCTAATCGTTCATTTTTCTCTTTTTTATTTGTAGTAACAACGTGGATCATTACCGCATGAAAAAATGTCTGGTGGCTGAAACAAAAACTCTCCTACAATTATCTGGTGTAAAAAAGATTACATCAGTTTACTTTGGTGGAGGTTAGATTATTGTTTCATTAGTAGTATTATGTAATAACTAAGGTAGTTTGCATGCTCCAGTTGGCTGAGAGCGTTGTTTGCATGAGCGAGTGTAAACGCAGTTGTGTTGTCACAGTCTTTTCTGTTTCAAAATAATACCTGCTTTCACTATCACTTTATTCATAGAAACAATCACTTCATCGATAATTACGAAGTTCTGTCACCAAAGAAAAGTCCTAGGTTCTTCAAGCAACAATTATTTTTCAATCTTATGTTTATCTTTAGACCTCAACGCCTGTTATGGAAATTTAGTGCTCATACTAGCAGTAACTGATGGTTAGGAATTGCGGGCGAACATGTGGGTTAAAGATGTGATTGATCAGATGAGAACCGCTTTCATAATTGCGTACGTGAAGCAGAGAAAGCCCTTTTAATTGCCGTATCAACAAAAGAAATTACTGCGGATCATAAGCGCAGAAACGGAATTGAACAACACAGTAAACAATACTCATATCAGTTTGATTCAACGATTTCATTCACAGTTGCTTAGTTACAATTAGCCTGCGAATGATGAGGATCGAGGAGAGAAGGCGAGATACAATGAAACAGTTATGCGTGACACAACACCCTACCTGAAATGTATAAAGTCACAACTGCACGAAGTCTTATTACTCAATCGGTTGTTCAGTCCGTGTTCAATAACCAAAGGCCGTTGATATGCAAAAGAAAATAATGAAAAAAGCTTAGTTTACCACTGGAGTTTAAAGCTTATTGAAGCTTCCTGATGACAAGAAGATGAGATCCCCCACCAGTTGACAACAGAACTGAATGAACAAAGGGTGACAGTCTTCCGCGATTAGTTGAGAGTATTTCAACCTGATGTTGTTACGAGTGACGAGTGTTAGATTTCCTTCTTCACCATGAAGATAAACGTTCTAACATGGTGTGGCTGGCCGACAATGAACCACGCCCAGACACCCTGAAAACAGGTTTCCGTCCAAGAAAGAGAATGTTTTCACCGTTTTCTTCAATACTCGAGGGCCTGTTGTTGTCGACATAACGCCCGACAAAGCTACAATCACTGCCACATATTACACAACTTCAGTTTTGCCAAAAGTTCTTCTGCATAATCAGTCAACGGCACGGACTCGACGTCGGTCTCGAATCCAGTTACATCACGACAATGCAGCTCCTCACAAAGCTCGCATCACACAGCCTGACGTTCCTTGATGACAATGGTATCCGTTTGATGGAACATTCACCATAGTCACCCGACTTGGCGTCGTGCGATTTCTGGCTCTTTCCAAAATTCAAATCTGCCCTTGCTGGGAAACGTTTTTCAAACTTTGCAAGTTTGCTTTGTTCGCCCATTTCTGTAATGGTTAAATTTATATAATTTGGAAAATTGCAAACCTGCTGTATCAACAATTTTTCAATTAAAATTGATGTTTTAAGGGAGAAAATTTTATACATTGTTTTTCATAGCCTGACGAGAACTCGAAAGTAATGAAATCTTTGTTCCTACTTCGTGGCTTTTAGGCTCTAGAATTTTTTCCAGTTTAAGGGCAGTAGGAGTTAAGCCTTCATTTACTATTAACTTTGTCATGATTTTCTTATTTTTGCCCGGATCAGACAAACCGTCCTGGAACTTGTACTGGGAAGTCAAAAGTGGATTTGCTGAGAGGCAGTAATTCTCTGCAAGGTCCTGGTTGGTGATGGCACTGTCCTTTATTGGAGAATTACGCTCTGTATTGGTTGTGTTGGGTACCTGCAATAATCCGTGTTCCACACTAGTATCGGGACTTAGGAGAGGTTGGGATTTCTTGCTTCCCTTGACAACGACGAGTAAGGTCTTTGTTTTTTATTTCCTGTAATGGTGTTTTATTTTCTGGGTAATGGCATAGAGCTTCGTGTCAGTGGGTTGCAGTGATACGTTTTGCTTTGGTGAGTTGACTTTAGGTTCTTGATTTTCCGTCTAGAATGCTTGCTGATCGGCCGGAGTCTTCTTCCTTTTCTCCGTTTTCACCATGGATTAGAACATGAACAGTGGGTGCGCAGAATGTACGTGGATTAGCCCTTCGTAACTGAAAAGCGAGGTCAGAGTCTGATGTGCTGGCGTGGGTTCGTTTTGTTTATCTTTGTCATTTTTCTTTCCTTTGCGCATTGGAAAAATAACTTTTTTTGGAGAAAGCGGTACAAGTTTTTCAGGAGGTTGAACACTTTGACGTAGTCCTTCATGGTCGAATCCGCAGTTTGGACAGATGTTCTCGTTGTTCTCATTCTGTTTTACGGAGGTTTCTTTTGTTTTATTTCCCTTTGAAAGTTTGGGATCCTATCCAGTGTAATCTGTTTACCGGACCTTGATCAGATATGAGCGTTTTTTTTTTTATGTCGTTTGCTTGGCGGTCAATGTTAAAGTACAGGTAAAGGTCCTTATCTTACGTTGGTAATTTGTACCAATACACATTGCACTGAGAAACCTGGGGCCGATGCTGCGCTCATCTTACCAACTCTCTGCATCAGTGCTCTGCGGAAAGGAAAAAAGTCGAAACAAGGATTTGAGATCATACTTGGGAATCAAACGCAAAACCTGCCGCATCGGTGGCCCTGCACTAACCGACTGTGCTACTTCTTTGTTGTCTTTAATCATGGCTTCTCCAAGTTTTCTTGCGTATTACATAAACAAGGTCGGTACAGCTACATCTGGGTACCTGGAGTACGTAAACGAATGTGATATTGAGCAACATTATACACCCAACATTGCTGATTTTAACAGTATGCATGACGCGTGGTAAATACGAAACTAGTATATGCACCTGACTCTTCAGGAGTCTATCTGGAGCTCAGTGGATGGCGTGCCTTCCCAGTGCTCTGGGCGTCATAGGTTTGAACCCTGTCAGGGACTGTAAATTTGTGTTTGTCCCACGATCATGATACGCTAATTATCGCTTGTTTTTTTAACAATTTTGTCTGGTGTTTGATCGTAAACTCTTTGTCAGTTTTGGTTGAACAATATTTTTTCCTTTAGGTACCCCAAGTTTAGCAGAACCTTTGATTATTTCGTCAGTGCTAGAAACCATTTCAAGATTTAGCTACTTACCAACTGATGTTGAAATCACATTGGAAGCAAATCCCACATCTGCTGAAACAGGCCGACTTAGGTATTTTGTATTTGTATTTTATTTTTGCTACATCCTATAATACATTAGTTGTACAATAATACAATAGTTGTACAATATCAATAATACATTAGTTGTAGAATCGCATAATTGAGTAAAATCTCGCATTCTGATTTGTTAACGAAGCAAGGTATTTAGTGTGGAATTGCGAGTTGAAAACGAGGCTAAGCGATATTGTTTCGCATCTACGTAACAGCTATCGTCAAATTCTAACACAACAACTGCAAAAAAGGTTTTCTACAATGTCATTTTAAAATGTTTTCAAAACCATTGTCTCCTTTTGAAGAGTTAAAAACAAACAAAAGCGTTTTTTAAAGTGAGACGGAGGTTCTTCCTTGTTTGAACTGAACTACAAATTCTCGGAGAGGCAAAATAAACCTCTTTCGCTCGCGACAACGAGAAAACAAGAAAATCCTGTGAACACGGCCCAGAAAATGGCAAGCCAAAGTTCAACCAAACAAAACGGAGAAGCAACAACGGAGGAAGTGCCAGGGTCGATTGTCACATATACAGAAGAAGAAATAAATACCTTCAAAGACGACATGGCCCAAAAGAGTACGCCGCTTGCAATCGTCTTGAATCGTGGTACTTAGAAAAGTACAAAACAGAGCTGAACTTGAACAGCATTTCTAAAACATTTCAAGGTACTTACCTTATATCAATCGCGACGTTAAACTTTCAGTGCTTTCGCTTGGACGCTTCATTCCTTTCAGTTTTGCCGCCGAAGAGGTATAAGGTGTAAATTATTTTCCTTCTCGAGCAAATGACCAATTGAAAAAAGATCTTATAGATAAACGGCTTGTAAAGTCAGTGAAATACCTCTATTTATCCTTACGATTAGTGTGAAGCTTGATTACATGTAAAAAAGTTTGAAAACAAATGTAAAAACAAGCACAAGGTACAAAAAAAGGTGTCGAAGGTTCAAACGTGTACGACTGACCTTGCTTCCTATTCGCCAACGCAATGACAGTTCTGACAGTTGACTTTGAAATGGCTTTCTGGAGCGCGCGCTCAGGATAAAAACAAACAATATTATTGCTGTTTTCTTTTTTTTTCTGATTTTATTCAATTATGTGATTCAAGGAAAATTAATTACCTGACTCGTGAATTCCACGTTAAATTGCACTTGAAAACCGATATGAAAACCGATATCGCACTCATCGCTTCGCGATTCGTGCGATATCGGTTTTCGCGTGCAATTTAACGTGGAATTCACGAGTCAGGTAATGAATTTTCCTATACAATATCAGTTGGTACAAAGTTGCTTAAACTACGTGTACATAATAATAATAACAAAAGAAGAAAATTAGATTGGAGAAGGGCACATTATAGTAAAACTAATTATAGGCGGCTTAGGTGTAATTCGTGCTTTAAGTGTTGATTCAATCGTTAGTGGTTATATTGTGCCTTAGCTTTCCCATAATAGGGCACAAAGGCAACGCTAGTTTCCGTTTCCGTATAGGAAGGTTTTATGGGAGTAGGTTACTCTACCCCAACCCAACCCCCCACCCAACCTAGAGGATTGGACCACTCTCCGTCTGGCCTCTATCCTTCAATCTGCTGGGCGTGAAAGTCCCTAACAGGAGAGTAAAACTCCAGCCGACAAAGCTCTCACGGTCATACAGACTCGCAAACAATCCTACCATGATAAGATGGTGATCCCATTGGCAAAGGTTAACTTTATGTGATCTTTAACTTGCAATAAATTGTGTTGACTGACCTTCCGATCCTTGTTTCCTTTTGAAGACACTTCCTTTCAGCTGGGATCAACCGTCTCTCTCTTGGCATCCAGGTATTTTAGCTTACTGAGTGTACATATCTTTGAAAAGCCTTGTTTAAGGAAAGATCATAAAGGATTAAAGGATGTATTTATTTATGTATGTATGTATGTATGTATGTATGTATGTATGTATGTTAGGGTATATAGTAACCGGATATAACAATTGTGGGTTGGCTTTTTGCTACATTTGAACTAAAAAAGAATGATTACACATATAAAATTGTGATTACTTTAATAAATTTGTCAAAGACAGAGAGAGAGAGAGAGAGAGAGATCTAGTAATTGGTGATTGTTTTTTGGTAGAATTTTTCTTTAGCGCACTAGATCATATATCCGTGTATTTTGCTCTATATAAACAATAAAGTTATGTTATGTTATGTTATGTTCCACCATTTGGAAAACATTTCAAAGAACGATCCTACAGCAAGGTGACTTTCAAACCGAAGAATGTTTAAAGAGAATTTTACATTCAACTTGCCAGTTATAATATAGAGCTTTTCCAGTCAAATACATCTAGAAAAAGCCACAGATTCTTCTGAAGTTTATCATAAAGTGATTTCTTATTACAGATGTTCATTTGACAGTTCAACTAAAATTGGTTTTACTACGTTTTTGTAGGCCTTCAATCAGAAAGATTTACTTCTTTTAGGAAGAGATAACACCGTCAAGGATTCACTTCAGTAAGTTTGCTGCTTTGTTGCACAACTTTCCTCACAGACTGACTCCTGTTACAGGTAGTTACTTTCAGACCAGCACGTAGCAGGGAGCTGGGTGATGTATTTTCTCAAGTCACTGAAAGTAATCCACGGGCCGAATCTGGAAGATGATAAGGTGGAAGGATTCTGTATGGATTCTGTATGATTCTGTTAACCCTGGCTTGAGAGATATCCTGATATCAGCCACTGAACCAAAACAGCGAATTCTTCACTGTTTTTCCAATACTACTTGAAAACATCTAAAATGCATTTTCAAAGACAGTACTCCTTGCAAATGTTATAACCAATTTGCTACGTGATGAACTTGGCGTCATATTACAAGAAGGAAACAACATGAGACGGATACTCGAACAGCTCATACCAGCCAATTCCAAACACTGATCCACCTCACTGACACATGCAGAAAAGATCTGGTCAAACAAAGGGTACATGTCCCCTGGCTATCTCATATCACGACCTCTAGCCTTGCACCTGATTAAAACCTCGTATTTCATTGGACCTCTATATGTCACATTTTTTTGTTTGGGGACTAGGTTCCATCAAAAAATATGCTGCCACAGTGCTTATAGTTTTCTTACTCATCGTTAATTTCATTTAACTGCCAGGGCTTTGCAGGAGGCAAAATCTATATTTCCTGGAAAGGTATCAATAGATCTTCTGTTTGGTCGACCACACCAATCACTGGAGGGATGGTCCAAGGAGTTACTCCAGGTATGACATGTACTCAATGCTGCCAGCTACTCAATCAACTATCCACAAAAGGCAGACAAGACACAGGGAGAGCCTTAATAGTCCATGATTAAGAAAAGCGGCTGCTGGACATCAGCCTGCCTTTACTGTTGTGGTACACCCCAATAGATATGGAACAACCTAAGCAATGACTTGAAACAAACAAAAGGCATTCAAGTGTTTAAGAAATGTTTAATCATTGAAGGGATTAATATATAACCTGAAGTAGGTCAGAGTGTACGATATTGTAAATAGGTTATTTTCTGTTGTTTTGATATCATGCTGAGAAACTCTTTAATTTCAAGGAAGCTCACTCAAGTTTTTATTTATGAAAATAGTTGGTGGCTTAGGCCCCATTTTAAGATGGTTGTGCAGGGATTTTAGAACTGTTCATTTCTAACTCTATGATGGCATTGGACTGAGTATTCTAGTTCCCAGCAGTTCGTTCGTTCGATTGTGGTTTGTTTCTTTCTTTCTTTCTTTCGAGACAATCCAGATAGTTGCTCTCTGTCGCTGAGTGGTTTAAAATTTCGCTTTCAAAATAACTAACCATTATGAAATGTATTTAATATTCTTGGATCGGACTCTGATTACATTGAAAAATGGTTATTAGTAATGTAATATTAGTTGCCTTGTGTGTTTAGACCATAGATGTCTGTGATGACCATGTTTCACTTTATCAGCTGACTCTTGAGAGAGGCACACCACTTTTCAGAGATGTTAAGTTGGGAAAATTGGTAAGTTCGCAATATTATGCACCATATCTAGGTTTTGTTAGGGTCAAGTCAACAAAAGCTGGTGTATATCCTATTTCGCCTTGCTGAGTGATTATGATTGTCAATTTTTTATGTCACCTATTTGTCCCTTTCTGATAATACGTACTAGACGTCATTGCTCCCAAAAGTGTCCGGTGACTCAAGATTGTTAAGAAACGGTCCAGATAAGAACGATAGCAACAACGGCAACGAACATGTTGGAATGCAAAAAAGGTGCTAACTTTTCTATCGTCTGTACTTACTTCTGATTGGCTTAAACAGCAAAAGTTAACCAAAACTTAATAAAGCAGTACATATATTCATCCTTACTTTCCAACCATCTTCCATATAACAAAATCTGGTCTCAGTTTGAATAACAAAGAAATCCTATGTGGGGAACATGTAAAATTGTAAACTTTTCTTGGCTATTGTTTTCA